CCAACACCCCCCAACCCACCCGAACACCCCAAACACCCGAACACCCAAAACCCCAAACCCTAAAGCCCTGACTCCCTAAACCTAACACCTAAACCCTAAATCCTAAACCACCCTAAACCCTAAACCCTAAACCCTAAACCCTAAACCCTAAATCCTAAACCCTAAACCCTAAACCAGAAAACCCTAAACACTAAACCCTAAACCCGAAAACCCCTAGACGTTCGGTTCTTCATTGCAAGGCGTTGGACCTCCCAAGCTGCGAAGATGCAGTCGCCGCTCGTGTAGGGGTCCCAGCCTCACTTGGGCTGAGGGGTTTTAGGTGTTTTGTTAGGGGTTAATCCTAAACCCTAAACCCTAAACCCTAAACCCTAAACCCACATTAAGGATAGCCCTGAACCCTAAACCCTACGCGTCTCAGCACGAGAAACAGGACCTAACTCCATCAGCGCGTCGACTTAATACCCCCTCCTCTGCAAGCCACCCTGAACCCTAAACCCTAAACCCTAAACCCTGATCCATGTGCTCGTGGATGATGTCCTAATATACGAATATAAACATATACCAATATAAGAATCTACTAGCATAGTACTATCATAATAATCGTATCATAAGGGGCTTGGGGGTTCTCGGACATCAGAGGTTGAAGGACTGATTTGTGGGGCATCAGAGCGTGAGGAAAACCAAGCCCTCCACGACCACCTAAAAGTAGAGCCTTGTGGAGCGCCTTAAGCCCTTAAGGCCCTTGACTTTAAAACCCTGGAAGCCCTTGAAACCCTTTCTCCAATGTCTTCAAGCCCTAAACTCTTTGAACCGTAAACCCTCAACCTTTAACCCCTTTTTAAACCCTTTAAGCCCTTGAAGCTCTTTAAGCCCTTGAAGCTCTTTAAGCCCTTTAAGCCCTTTGAGCCCTTTAAGCCCTTACAACCCTAAACAACCCCACAACGCCTAAACACCCTAAACCCTAAACCCTAAACCCGAAACCCTAAACCCTAAACCCTAAACCCCCGTGAACTCGCAGCGAAGACCCCGGCGGACGAGGACGCTGGTGGTGTCCAGCGGCGTCACGGTGACGTTCACGGGGCTCCCGGCCAGCTCCTGTGTTTAGGGTTTAGGGTTTAGGGCTAGGGTTTAGGGTTTAGGGTTTAGGGTTTAGGGTTTAGGGTTTAGGGTTTAGGGTTTAGGGTTTAGGGTTTAGGGTTTAGGGTTTAGGGTTTAGGGTTTAGGGTTTAGCGTTTACAGTTTAGGGTTTAGGGTTTAGGGTTTAGAGTTTAGGGTTAGTGTTCAGGGTTTAGGGTTTAGGTTGGGATGTTACCCTTTATACTAACAGTCCTTATCAGGGATTAGAATAGGCGGTACTATAACTCCAAGGTTTTGGGTTGAAGGCATTTCTTCGAAAAATAGAGGTCCACATCACATACCCCGAAACAGCATCATCCTTCTCACTCTGGGAAGGCCCAACCCTAAACCCTAAACCCTAAACCCTAAATCCTAAACCCTAAACCCTAAACCCTAAACCCCTGGAACTTGAGCTCTATGCGCTAGACAGGATCGAGGACCCTTGGACTGAGGGTTTAGGGATTTGTTTTTCAGTTTAACCTAAGCCCTGTAAGGGTTAAGGGTTTAGGGTTTAGGGATTTGTTGTTTTAAGGTTTTTGGAGTTCTCATTCCGGCGGGGAAGGGGGTTTGGAGGTTCTGGTTAACCCTAAGTCGACTTCCATCACCCCCCCCCAAAAAAAAGCAACAAAACTTAACACGCTCCCCTGCCCTCCCCCTGGCCTCCCCGGCCCCCCTCCCCCCCCACCCCTCAACCCCAAACCCTAAACCCTAAACCCCAAACCCCAAGCCCCAAACCCTCAACCCCCTAAACCCAAGCCCTAAACCCTAAACCCCAAACCCTCAACCCCCTAAACCCCCTGCAACCCACGGCCAGGCCGACCCCTCTGACGAGGATGGGCTCGGTCCAGTTGTAGAGGGAGTCCAGGGCTGAATCCTTGCGAAGCCAAGCTGCGGTTTAGGGTTTAGGGTTTAGGGTTTAGGGTTTAGGGTTTAGGGTTTAGGGTTGAGGGTTGAGGGTTTAGGGTTTAGGGTTTAGGGAGAGCTTTCGAGGGCTTAGGGTTTCGTACTTTAGGGCTTTGGTAACTTCTAGGGTTGGGGGTCTGAGCATCTAAGGGCTTGGGGCTTAGCAGCATTCAGGGGGTTCGAGTTCTGGCAACTTAAAGGTTGAGCTTAGGGGTTCAGCTATGCGGATTCAGGGCCACAGGAACTAAAGTGGGGCTCGATGGCTCAGAGACGTTTGCTCTCTCTCTCTCTCTCTCTCTGTCTCTCTCTCTCTCTCTGTCTCTGTCGCTCGCTGTCTCTCTCTCTCTCTCTTCTTAACTACTTTTTGGGTGGGGAAGTTCTGGCCTATAAGGGACCAAGTGAACCCCAAACCTCGGGATTTTTTTCAGGCTAAAGGCAGACCCCCGACACTTCGGCGGCGAAGCGTTCATGGCTTTTGGGGGGTTCCCGTGCCTTTGGCTATTCAGACTTTGGGGCTGGAGGCGTGGGGTTTGGGGAGTTAGGCCCTAAGCCCCTAAGGCCCTTTAAAAACCCTGAAGCCTGAACGCCACAAGCCCCAAGCCCTACTAGGGCACCTGAAGCTAACGAACCAGAAGATTCCAGGGTTGCAGCTTGCAATGCAGCTTTTCCTGACACCACCGAAGACGGAACACTAAGACCCGAAACTCTGCAACCAGGAATACGTCGAGCGTTTAGGGTGTGCTTGGAGGTTCATGATACTTATTAATTCACCAGTTATGCTCCCGACAACCCACTTAGAAGCCCCTTAAGTGCCCTAATATCTAGGTTGCCCAGTAACCAAGGATTAAAAAGGGTGCCCTTTTTGCTTGAAGGTATTTATAAGGGAACCTAAGCCCCCCAAAAAAGGGAATAAGGGTACTACTGGGCATCCTAGATATGGTCAGAAGTACGGTCAGAAGTACACTTATAACTGGTGAATAAGTACCATGAACCTCCAAGTAGGGTTTGGGGCTCAGGACCCGGAGGGATGAGGTTTAGGGTTTAGGGTTTAGGGTTTAGGGTTTAGGGTTTAGGGTTTAGGGTTACCATGCTGGGCCTAAGGCTTGGGGGGCAACTGGAAATATGGCTTGCCATATGTTGCGTCATTGTGCGAACACAGCCCAGTGAACCCACACCCTGAGAAGATCATGATTTCTCTGGATAGACATTAGGGTTTAGGGTTTAGGGTTTAGGGTTTAGGGTTTAGGGCTTAGGGTCGAGGATGGCGGGCCGCCGTGACTGCTGCCAGCGGAAAGAGCCGGGGTAAGTAAGCTGGAGGACTGCACCTCGAGAGCGTCCTTGTTTAGGGTTTACCCCTTTTTTTTGGTTTTTAAGGGGGTTATAAGGGAACCCCGACCCTAAAAATGGGAAATGAGGGCCTACTCCGGGTCCTAGTACCCCTAAACCCTAAACCCTGAACCCTGAACCCTGAACCCTAAACCCTAAACCCTAAACCTTAAACCCTAAACCCTAAACCCTAAACCCTAAACCCTAAACCCTATTCAGGATTTCAGGGTCTCGGGGTGCAGGGCTTAAGCTGCAAGAATGTCCAAGGGCTCCGACTGTGCAGAGCTCGGCGAAGCGGACCTCTCAGGAAACGAGGACTCAAGGTTTCGGGCTAGGTTTAGGGTTTAGGGTTTAGGGTTTAGGGTTTAGGGTTTAGGGTTTAGGGTTTAGGGTTTAGGGTTTAGGGTTTAGGGTTTAGGGTTTAGGGTGATCAGGATTTTGACAACCACCCATGTATAAGGCTCTGACATATCATCGGATTTCAGCCAAGAAGATGCCAGACGGAACCAGAAGGGCCAGAAATTCGAAAAACCTCACATGTGGCTCAACACCCCAAAGCCCCCAATCCTAACCCTAAACCCTCAAAACCCTCAAAAGCCTCAAAACCCTCAAAACCCTGAAAACCCTGAAAACCCTCAAAACCCTGAAAACCCTGAAAACCCTGAAAACCCTCAAAACCCTCAAAACCCTCAAAACCCTCAAAACCCTCAGCCCTATCCGCGAGCTCCTAAAAACTCCAACCCCCTGGTTCTTAGTAGGGAAGGAAGTAGGGCCCTATAGTCCCTCAAAGGGAATACTTAGGGCCCTAATTCCCTCATTCCCTACGAAGAACCAGCCAGCCAAAGTAACAAAGCTCAGGATTTCAGACTCCTTTGGAACCCTAAACCCTAAACCCTAAACCCTAAACCCTAAACCCTAAACCCTAAACCCTGGGGTGGGAGCTTGGTAGCCCAGTAGCCAGACTATGAGAAGGGCACCTTTTTTTGGGCTACTTTATCAGGGAACCCAGGACCAAGAAGAAGGGCAAAGGGTACGACTGGGCTACCACTACTAGCCCTAAACCCTAAACCCTAAACCCTAAACCCTAAACCCTAAACCCTAAACCCTAAACCCTAAACCCTGAGGTCAGCGTTTGAATGGGTCTTGGAGGGAGGTTCAGCGATCCTCAGTCCTACCAGAGAGTAGACGGGGCATGCACCTTGTGGTCGTTTGGGGGTTATGGTCCTAAGCCCGAAACCCTAAACCCTAAACCCTAAGTTCTTCGAGGGCTTCGGCTTCAGGACTGCGCGGTAGCCTTCCTTCAACGCCGGGCTTAAAAGTCTTTGATCGGCAAAGGTCACCGAAGGCAGCTAAGCCCGTAAGCAAAGGATCGTTGGCACGAAAGGCTTTTTATGTTTCAGGGTACGTAGGGTTTTGCGGACCTTTTTGGGTGGTCAGGGCTTCTAGGGTACAGAGCGTTTAGGGTTGAGAGCTTCTGGGGCTTAGCGATTCGGATTTCAAACTTAAAAGACCATCGGCGGCTTTGTCATGCACCTGCGGGCACTTCTTCATGCCCAGGCAGGGTCCATCAATGTGTGTGTGTGCTTCTGTGTGTGTGTGTGCGCGCACGCGCAGGCACGCACCTGTATAAAAGTTCTAAGGTGACTACAAGCGATTCATGCCCGCTCAATGGCGGATATCAACGATGAGGGCCACGGGCTCGCAGCTCCCGTGATGGGCCTCAGTCAGCTGGGATTACACAAGCTTCTAGCGATTCGTTTTCGGCCCATGCACAGGTTCAGCTTTTTCTTTTGAGGGGTGGAACCCTACACCCTAGTCCTACACTCCAAACTCTGAACCCTAAGCCTTAAACCTTGAAGGCCCAGAACCCCAAACCCTAAACCTTAGCCCTAAACCTTATACTTGGAGGTTCATGGGTACTGATAACCTCAATTATAAGTCTAAATACTTATAACCTACCTATAGAGGACATAAGGGACTTAGGGAGCTTATGAATACAGGTATAATTGGGGTTAGAAGTAGCCTTGAACCTCCAAGTAACCCTAAGCACTAAAAACCCTAAACCCTAAACCCTAAATCGAGGCCCCACAGGTTCACACCCGGCTTACCAGGGAAAGGGGGGACACGAAGCTCTGCACGTCCGCCCTGAAACCCCGAGACCCTTAACCCCAAAACCCTCAAACCCTCAACCCTAAGCTACTCTATGCTTCTTAAGAACCCCCCGATAGACTGGGAAATAGCAACCCTATTTTGCCTTCATAGAGACGAGTATTGTTTACATGGGGGGGGGGGGGGGGGGGGGGGCGTTCTTAAGCAAATGGTAGTAAAACCCTGCAACCCTCAACCCCTAAGTCGCCCCAAGGTATCTACCGCAAGATCTTTCGAGCTAAGCCTCCGGCCACTCGGGTTTAGAGTCGAAGGTTCAGGGCAGGTCTTGGTAAGGGCATCGGAGTTTCGGGGATTTCGTGTTTGGGACCTCGGGCAGAAAGACTAGGACACTCGCGAAGCCAAGTAAAGGGGAAAATCTTGAAAATCCCAACGGCCCACGCAGCATCCACAGTGTAAAGGGACATAGGGTTTAGGGTTTAGGATTTAGGATTTAGATACATGTAATGCAGGGCAGATCTGAGTGAGGGCTTATTTGAGCGCTGACTCGAACCCCCCAACCCTAACTCCGAAAAAAAAAACTTATGTCCCTTTTCAATCCGGTAACGGCCCGTAACCCGCAACCCCTGCGCCCCTAAACCCTAACCCTAAACCCTAAACCCTAAACCCTAAACCCCCTGCGGCTGGGGGGAGGGAAGAAGCCAAGGTCCAGGCTCTTCAGGGGTTCGGAGATCCGCGCACAGCGGGTTGCTCTCCGTCCCCGGCTGCACGATCTGCCAGGGGGCGAAGCACAAGCTTCCCTAACTAGGATTTAGGGTTTAGGGTTTGGGGTTTAGGGTTTGGGGTTTAGGGTCTAGGGTTTAGGGTTTGGGGTTTTGGGTCTAGGGTTTAGGGTTTAGGTTTAGGGTTTAGGGTTTAGGGTCTAGGGTCTAGGGTCTAGGGTTTGGGGTTTGAGGGTTGAGGGTTTAGGATTTAGGGTTTAGGGTTGAGGGTTGAGGTTTTGGGCCTTTAGGGCCTTTAGGGCCTTTGGGGCCTTTGGGGCCTTTGGGGCCTTTAAGGCCTTGAGGGTTTAGAGTTTAGGGCCGGCCAAACCGAAGGCAGATCTGCTTTTTTGTGTCAGTACTACGCAGCAGGCGCAGGAGTGCGACTCGTGGTATTCGGCTTGGGCTGCCGGGCGGTTCTTCAGCCAGGTGTTCTGTTTGCCCCAGGCACCCTGCTTCGCCTCAACTGTCATGGCCTCCTTCAGCAGGCGAGCCTAAACCCTAACCCCCAAACCCTAACCCCCCCCCCCCCCGAAGGGGGCGCTGGCCCCACTTGTCCAAGTGGGTTCTGCTCAGCTTTCCCTGACCCTTAGAATCTAACTTGGCTGCACTTAGGGGGGGGTAGCTAAAAACTAAGTTTTTAGCTGGCTTCTTAAGAAACCCAATAATCCAAAAAAAGGTAAGGATCTAAAGTAGTTACAGTAAAGTACCACAAATCTAAACACCCTGAAGACCCCAGAGACCCTATGGACCCCCAAAACCCTAAAGACCCTCAAGACCCTCGACTCTAATCACCCGCAAGACCCCCAAAAAACCCTATGGACCATAGAGGCCAAAGACCCTAAAGCGATAGCTCAATGTACCCTAAACCCTAAACCCTAAACCCTACACCCTAAATCCTACACCCCTAACCCCTAACCCCTAAACCCGAAACCCTAAACCCTAAACCCTAAACCCGAACCCTAAACCCCAAAGCCTAAACCCGTGGAGCGGCCTGCTCCGGTAAGGCCCCGCAAAGTCCAATCGTGCCATTCCTGAGCTTTTAAGAGGGGGCTAGGGTTTAGGGTTTAGGGTTGACGGTTTAGGGTTCAGGGTTTGGGGTTCAGTTTGGGTGTGGGCGGGGGGGGGGGGGGGGGGGGGGGGGAGGGGGAAGAACCGCACGCAGGCACACGACAAACAAGACACGACACACTGAATCCCTAAACCCTCACACTCTCCAGGCGAAACCCAAAACTTAACCCTAAACCCTAAAACAACCCTGAACCCTGCAACCCTAAACAGTCCCTAAACCGTCCCAAGCCCCAAACCGCCCAGACCCTTAACCCTATGCAAAAGCCGCACTCCCAGCATCCGAGCTACCCTCAAACCCTGAAGCTTGCCTAGGTACCTATCCCTCGTGAACCCCCCTCCCTTACGAACCCTCTAGATGTACTGCACTTGGAACTTGGAGCCCTGATACCAAAAAAACAACGTCAAAGAATGAACACCTAAACCCCGAAACCCTGGATGTAGGCTTGCTGAAGTTGCAGCCCTAAACCCTAAACCCTAAACCCTAGACCCTAAACCCGAAACCCTGTCTAAGGGCCCCACGCGTACGACAGGTCGCGAGAGTGGCAGGAAATCTGCTTGGCCGCAAGGTCCTGCAAAACCTAAATCTCAAACTCTAAACCCCAAACCCTAATCCCTAAACCCTGAACCCTAAGCCATTGATCCTGACGCCAGCCTAAACTACCATTTGCTTAAGAACCCCGTTCGCCAGCAAAATCTAAATCCCGATATTGCCCTTATAAGGAAGAATATGTTACATTTTTCGGGGCTTCTGTACAAGTTAGGAAACCCTAAACCCTAAACCCTAACCCCTAAGCCACACCAGTAAAATCCAAAAACCCGAAGCCCGGAAGCCCGGATGGAAAATCTGAAGGCCCAGACGCCTCCGAAAGATCCGCCGTCCTGCTCCTTAAACGGAGGGATGTTGTCCATGCGGTCATCGAAGAAATAGACCTCAGCTCTATCCCCCTATCGCCCCCTACACCCCAAAGCCTGAACCCTCTGAAACCTCTAAATCCTAAAACAACCCCAAACACCAGGAACCCTGTTAACCCTGAATTCAACAAAGCCTCTAAACCCTCTAAACCCCAAACCCTATGTACATTGAACCGTAACCCCAACTCACTTCTCCAAGAACCAAGGAAACGGTTAATATTGATTATGCCTACAAAAATAGAAACCAAAACAGTTTAAAGTTCAACCATTGGCGAAATAACCCTGCGGGTCCATATACCTCATTAGGGTTTAGGGTTCAGGGTTCAGGATTTAGGGTTTAGGGTTCAGGGTTCAGGGTTTAGGGACCAGGGCCCCAAAGTCGCTATATTCCCTTTTGAGGTACTTTGGACCCCTGGGGAAGCTAAATCCTGAGCCGGTTTTGGGTTGAGGCTCTGACCATGTGAAGTAGGGTATAAATTTCTTGTATCCCCAAAAGGACACCAAGTATATACACTCACCAATTTTAAAAGGAACCTTATATACACTCACCAATAACAGGAATATAAACCCTACTTCATGTCCTTTCGAGGGATTAAGAAGCATGCCCGTAAGGTTGTGCCCCGAAAGGTTTCCCGTGCAAGGCCCCGAAATAAGGCCCGCATACTACCTTAAACATCTTGAAGAAGGGTCCCCAAAAACAAAGGTATGATCTTAGGGCGCAAGACCCTAAACCCTGAACCCTGAACCCTAAACCCTAAACCCTATTCAAGCCCTAAACCCTAAACCCAAAAGCCCAAACCGCTAAACCCTAACCCTAAACCCTAAACCCTAGACCCTAAACCCTAAACCCCAAACCCTAACCCTAAACCCTATAAACTCCAACTCTGAGCCGGTTGGGGTTGAGGCACTCTTTTATTGGGAGCTGCCTGCTACAAGCCTCAAAAGTTTTGAAACCCACCCGAAACCCCAAACCCTATACGCCCCTCAGCCGTCAGAAGCCCTATGCCCTAACGTGCTAAACCCTAAACCCTACAAGCCGGAAACCCCAACAAACACTAAGCCCGACACGACAAGCCAAAAACCCTGCACCGACCCTATATGGGGGTCTATGAAAATAGGGGGCCCCCAAGGTCTAGGAAAATAGGGGGCCCCCCAAAATGGACCACAAACAGCAGGATTCCCATATAATGAGGACCCCAATAAGGTACCCCAATGTCGGAAACCACCTTATCTTAATCCCTGTTCCCCTAGAAAAACAAGGATCCTTTTTGTTCATCTATAAGAAAGCCCATAACCCAAAAAGTAAACAGGATCCCTAACACTGATCTAGTTGTATGAAGTAGGGTATATATTTCTTGTACCCCCAAAAGGACACCAGGTATATACACTCACCAATATTAAACAGGAACCTTATATACACTCACCAAAAACAGAAATATAAACCCTGCTTCATATGGAACCACAAAGCCCTCATTCATGTCAAGCCCAGGAGCTTGCTGCTTCTCAATGCTGAAGCCGAAGGTATTCTGGCAAAGGCATCAGATTGCGAAGTAGGGTTTAGGGTTGGGGGTACCCTAAACCCTAAACCCTAAACCCTAAACCCTAAACCCTAAACCCTAAACCCTAAACCCTAAACCCTAAACCCTAAACCCTAAACCCTTCAAGCGGATCGCAAGAGACGAGAATCCTGATTGTAGGAACACCCAAAACAGGGCACATCCCGAGTATTCGGAAACCCCAAACCCTAAACCCTCAACCCCAAACCCTAAACCCTAAACCCCAATTAACCCCAAAGCCTAACACTTCAGGGTTTTGGGGGGGGGCCCTACGATCCTGGGATGCCCCTAGTTCCAAGGAGGGGGAACAAGGCATCCTGGATGTTTGCTGACATCTACTGAACTTCAGGCTGCGCTCCGACTGAAGCACCTAACACATATAAGGGTTTAGGGTTTAGGGTTTAGGCGACGTCTGATGAAGTAGGGTATATATGTCTTGTACCCCCCAAAAGGACACCAAGTATATACACTCACCAATATTAAAAAAGGAACCTTACGTACACTCACCAATAACGGAAATATCAAGCCTGTGTCAATATAAGGGTTTAGGGTTTAGGGAGTAGGGTTTAGGGTTTTGGGATGGCCTTTAACAGTAGTTTGATGCGCTCTTCATGCGGCCCCTTACCCTCTTTCAAGGGTTCTGAGGTATCGGCCCATAGCTTGGTCTACCTTGAAGGGGGTATATAAGGCGTCCCCTTTGAAGGTCCCATACTAATCGACCATGTAAGTAGCCTTAGAGACTGCCGGGATTTACGTAGAATTTAGTAGACCTTCGTACCCAGTCCTAGATTTCTAAATTAAAATTACTCTTTCTACGGCGGAGTTGCGGGCGCAGGGGCCTTGGTATTTAAAGGGACCATGTAACCAGATATAGATACTCCCGAAATGGGGACTATGTTGTTGAACAAAGTACCTTGGGTTTGGGGTCTAGGGTTTAGGGTCTAGGGTCTAGGGTTTAGGGTTTAGGGTTTGGGGACACTTGGGTGAAGCAGTTCAAGCCCTGCGGACCAGGCTACGAACGAGCCTCACCTAAACCCCTTTCACGCCTAGATGGATGGCTCTTACTTGCTAGCCTGGCGTACACATCGCAATTGCAATAAGGATGCCCCTTTTTGGTGTTGGTTGCTGTAATACTCCTCAGTGCTGCGCAAAAGGAACCCAATGAGCCTAAAACGAACAGGACACCATCCCTACTTCTTCGGACCCTAAACCCTTGTCAGTGCTCCTGTAAGTCAGGAACCCCAAAACCCCAAAAACGGGCAACAGGGCAGCTCTGGGCTACCAAGTCTCACGAGCTCCCAGCCTCGTACCATTGCCGCACCAGCTCCACTGCAAACTGCTTCTGTCCATCGGGCTGGCCGATGACAAACGGCGACGTCACCGACCTGAAAGACATCTGGAGTATGCTCGGGGTGGCGTGAGTGGAGGCATATTCCCACACTTATCTCCACTACTAGGTCGTACCTCTAGACTGTAACATAAGGACAGGCCGGTTCGTGACGCAACCTCGCGAGAAGCTTTAGGGGTCAAACCCAAGCTACTTCGTCGAGCAACCTCAGTAGGGTTTGGAGGGTCGAAAAGTCTGAGTTAGCCCGAAACCTTAAACCTGAACCCATAGGCTTTGGAATGTCTACAGTGTTTAATGTGTCTAGATCGTGGTTCGAGGCCTACAGGGTTTGGCATCAAGGCGATTACAAAACTCCGAACCCAAATACACAAACCCCAAGGTTTATGTAGGGTTTGGGGTTTAGTTAGGGTTTGGGGTTTATGGAGATTTCTGTAGCCAGGCAGCAAAGGAGTCGTGATGTAGGCACCCATGGACCAGTTCTGGCAACGAGAGGCTTAAACAACGGCCTAGGCTTTAAGTGAAAAGGCGGTTTAGGGTTTAGGGTGTAGGGTTTGGGGTGTTTAGGGTGTCGGGTTTAGGCTTCAAGCTTCGGGAACCCTCCATCCGTGGCTTTAACCAGAACCAACGAGATCCAAATCAACCCCACTGATACACTCAACCCCCGTACATTGGGATGTTCCCCCCCTTATACTACCAGCCCTTGATAGGGACTATAGTTCCCCTTATTCTACTCCCTACTAAGGAATGTTAGCATAAGGGGGGTTTATCCCAACCCATACCTTAAGACCTGAAACCCTCAAACCCACAAAGCCTTAAGCCCTAAAAGCCTAAAAATTGCAAGGCCTGAAACCCTAAACCACAACCCCCCCCCCCCCAAAAAAAAAAAAAAAAAAAAAGTCCTAAAAAGCCTGAAGCCCTGGAACCATTCAAACCCTAGAAACCATTACCGACCCTGCAGCCCAAAAAACAAAAAAATAAAAACACCTAAACCGCCTGAAGCCCTAGACCCGCAAACACTGAAAAAAAAAACACCCTAAAAACCCTAAAAAACCCTAAAAAACCCTAAAACCCTAAAAACCCTAAAGGCCCTTAAAACCCTAAAAAGCCTAAAAAGTTCAAAAGCCCAAACAACCCTTCAACCCAAAAAACCCAAAAACCCCTAAAGCCTGAAACGCCCTACAACCCTAAATGCCCAAAAACCCCAAAAGCCCCTAAAAGCCCTACAGCCCCTTCCTGGCCTTCACGAAGGAAAACTGGCTGGCGAGGCGATCAAACGGGCGGCTCCTGTAGCGGATTGCGCCACGCTTGGGCCTATTGGGGCTTCTGGGTCGATAGGGTTTAGGGTTTAGGGCATAGGGTTTAGGGTGTAGGGTTTAGGGTCCAGGGTTTACGGTTTGGGCTTTAGGATGAGGGCTTAGGGTTTTTCGGATTTAGGGATTAGGGCTTAGGGTCCAGGGCTTAAGATGTTGGGTTTAGAGTACAGAAAGGTATGGGGTGAAGGGCTCAGGGTTCGGTGTTCAGGATTTGCGCCAGTTACAACACCCCCAGACTCCCCACCCTAATTCCAAACCCCGAAAGTCACCCCTCTTAGGCCTCTTAGGGTAGTTTGTCCCTTAGTAGGGCTCTTAAAAGGGGACCCCCTTTATATACCCTAAACAAAAGTAAGGGCCCATACTTCAGAACCCTTTTAAGGACGTAAGGCACCGTATTAAGGGCCCATGGAACTACCCTTGGCGCCCAGAACCGTCCAAACCCTACGTAAGGGTGAGGGCTTCTTCGGGTTTAGGGTTGAGCTTCCCTATCCGGAACAAACCCTGTGGCAGGGTAAGGACTTCGTGCTTAGGGTTGAGCTTCCCCCAAACTGGCATGGGCGAAAAAAACTCTCCACAACCCAGGGTGGTGAGTTGTCTGCAAGGGAATTGGGCGGAGGCTTGCCTTGTAGGATTCAAGGTCTATATGGGTCTATATATACATATATATATATACATATATATATATAGGCTTCAGGGCTCAAAAGGCGGTCTCTGGGCGTCGCCCGCGACCTCGCCGGGTCTCAATCCCGACCGCTCAGGAAAACGTCCACTTTGTCCACGCTTTGCTTTCGTGCCCCGTGCACTCGAAGGTTCTGAATCCTCTGCTTTCCTTTTCTTGTTTTCCTCCTTTTCTTCAAACCATTTTGCAAGGAGCTTGCGTTCTTCGGTCGGGGAGTCGGCCGCGGGGTCGGCTGTCCTCTGCCAGGTGACGTGTCGGTCCTTCGGCGGCTGCCGAGGCGGTACAGGCAACAGCATCATAGGCTGCATGGGCTTGCGAAAGTCCTCTGCGCCTCTCTTCCACTGCGGCACGGTCCATGTCTTGCCTCCTTAGACCCTAAGGCTAAAGAAACCGATCAATTCCTGAAACCCTAGTCCAACATCTTTTGCTGACCCTAAACCCCTACACGCTTCGAACCCTCCCAAACCCTCAGCCCAAAACCCCCGAGACCTCGAAACTTCCGAGACCCCTAAACCCTAAACCCCAAACCCCAAACCCCAAACCCTAAGCCCTAAACCCTAAACCCTCAACCCTAAACCCTGCACCGACCCATTGCCTCACTACCTCGTCCAGGAGGTAGTTGTTCCATGGAGATCCCACGCCGCTCCCTTGTCCTGAGAGGAAACTCCAAGAGTGATTGGACCAGTTGAGGCTTGAAAACTAGGGTTCCAGGGCTTACGGTTTAGGGTATCCCTCCAACCCTAAACCCTAAACCCTAAACCCTAAACCCTAAACCCTAAACACGAAATAACTCGGGGTCCCCTTTCACCCCAAGAAGGGGAGATACCAAGTATCCCAAGGCCTCCAGGGCCGACCTAGTAGGGTTTGAGGTTGGGATTTAGGGTTTTGGGTTTTGGGTTTAGGGTTTAGGGTTTGGGGTTTAGGGTTTAGGGTTTAGGGTCTGGGGCAAGGTTGGGGAAGTGGGAGCTGTCTGGGCTTTAAGTCATTTTATGGAGCTTTTGGCGCCACCAGGGTTTGTGGGGCTTTAGGGCTTAGGGCTTTTAGGTTGGGACGTTCCCCCTTCTACCCTAAACCCTAAACCCTAAACCCTAAACCCTAAACCCCAAACCCTAAACCCTAAAATCGGGATTCTAACCGGGGAAGCATCCCAAGGCTTAAGGCTTCTCGGGCTTATTGCCAACGAGGAAGGTAGGCCTTCACAGCTTTGTGAAGACTGCCCAGATCTTCCAAAACCTCTTAATTAAGGTATATAGTATAATATGTATATAGAATTAGGGTATATACTATATACCCTAACTCATAAGAAGGAGGCTTAGTATAAGATATGATTAAGGTATATACCTTAGTAGCCCAGTAACCATATTCTAGTATGGGCACCCCTTTTTGGGGTTGATCATACTTTATAAGGGTACCAGAACCAAAAAAGTGAAAAGGGTACTACTGGGCTACCAAGATACCCTAATTCATATTAAGGATGCTTAGTTGAAATCAGGGTATATTCCTTAGCTAAGGGGTTTTGGAAGATCGGGGTGTCTGACATCCTAAACCCTAAGCCTTGTCTACTATGTTCTTCAGAACCCCAACGATGTAAAGATAATCATCCCTCTATTGCCCTTATAAGAAAGAATATTCTTGAATTCTTGGGTGGTTCTTAAGCAAATAATCGCAGATGCTTGTGGCAAGGCACTGGGGTTGCCCACCCGCCCACTCTTTTCCCCCCCCTCCACCGACGCCTGCTGAGCAAAGGCCCCGATAGCAGTTTCCACAGAAGGTGGTGTTGATGCCTCGCCAGGTGATGTGCAAGTGTGCCAAAACCAGATCCCCCACCAACCTTATTGCTTCCTGGCTTTCTATGGACAAAACAGGTATATTGACGCGCCATTGGGTGGCATGGTCTTTCGAGCAAGGTCTACGGCTGAGCTGCGACTCCCGCTACCTGGATTGACCTACATTCTGGATGTTTTGCCTGCAAATAAGTTGTAAGTACTAAGCTGCAGCTAGATGGAGTTATAGGTAGAGCATAGGATGTATGGGGTCAATATGGGGGCCTTCTCAACATAAGTCTTGTTTTTTGGGGGAGGCAAAATTATAAATGGGGACCATTCCGACACCTATATTGCAGGTAGAGCCGAGGGTGTAGAGACTCCATGAGCCACCCGAGAAAAGTGAATTCAACACAGGAGATCAGGCGAAAGGGGACCAGACATAGACTTGGAGGGTTTCGGGTTTAGGGTTTCCTAGAATCCTAGTGCAAAAAAATCTATACTCCCCTTAGAACATTAATGAAAATAGTATTCTTAATGTCCTCTTGGGTTTTTGTTATAAACATAAGTTTAAAAAGACTTCCCAAGGGGGATATAGAAGTCGGGGGGAGGGGGGGGGGGGTAACTTTCCACACGAACGAAGCGCCCATAGAGGCCCCATACCGGTAGGGTGTAGGGTTGAGGCCTGCCTTACTAGTTCATGGTTGGAAGAATAGTAAAAACTCAAATGTATATTCCTTATTGGGTTTAAGTACCCTTAGAAAATGTAAAATGGCTAACTATGACAAAGCTTAGGGCTCAGGGTCGAAGAGTCAAAGCACCAGCTTGCGCTCTGAACTCCGGGGGTGGGGGACAAGGAGCAAGATGCATGAAGACACCCCTCAACCCAGACTCAACCCACAAACCCCAAACGCTACACCCTAACCCCACTAAACCCTTAACCCCAAACCCCAAATTCAAACCCAAATTTCAACCCCACGAAGCCATAAACTCCAAACTCTAGAACCCAAACCCCAAAACCCTAAACCCCAAACCTAAGCCCTAAACTCCTGGCAGCCTGGAGACCCAAGAACCCTGGCGGCCGAAAGGCCCAGATCTTCTACGATTCTAAAACCCCTTAAGTAGGGAATATACCCCAATACATAATTCATAATCATCCGTAGTACAACCCTAAACCCTAAACCCTAAACCCCAAACCCTAAACCCCAAACCCCGAGGGGTTTTGGAAGATCTGGCCCCAAAGCTGAGACGGATGGGGCCTGCAACGCTGAGCGCCGAAAGAGTCGCCTCTTGGGATTCTGGAGGGGGGGGGAAGGGGGGAGTTCATGTTTTAGGGTTTGGGGTTTGGGGTTTAGGGCGTGGGGTTTTGAGTTTAGCGTTTTGGGACTTAGGGTTTTAGGGTTTAGGGAAGCACTTTTTCAGCCGACAGGCCTCAACAGTACAAACTTGGGCCCCAACATCACGAAATAGAAGCTACTTCACAGCCTGCCTTATTGAGGTACATGGACTCGGCTGTATGCATGGAATCTGAGGGATTCTTGGTTCTTGAGGGTCAAGGGTTGAGACTTCTCCACCCAAAGATTCGACCACCATAGACTTGAGGGTTCAGAATGGGTTCAAAGAGTGCGAAGATACGGATCTCAACACGAAGAGACGAAGAACTTGAAAACAACCTACCCTCAGGCCCAAACACGGAAAGCCCTCAATGTACTCCAATGTCCTCCAACCATACGCCCTAAACCTCAAACACTAACTCCTTAATAGACTAAACCCCTGCCCTGAACCCTATTCCGTGTACCATTCACCCATAAGCCTAAACCCTAAACCCTAAACCCCAAGCCCCAAGCCCTAAGCCCTAAGCCCTAAACCCTAAACCCTAACCCTAAACCCCAAAGCCTAAACCCGTGGAGCGGCCTGCTCCAAGGCCCTAAACCCTAAACCCTAAACCCTAAACCCTAAACCTCAAACCAGAGTGCCGGGAGGCATTGCCGCCGCCGTAGGCCCAATCCCAAACTGGCAACCTGCGGGTGCCTCGACAAGGTAGAAGGTTTGAAGCTGTTTGGAGCTGACGTTTAGGGTTGGACCCCTAGCCCTAAATCCCACAAAAATCGTGTCGGGCCCCCCCCCCCACCCGCCCCCACCCCCCCCACCCCGCCCCCTCACCCCACCGCCCCCCCCCCCACCCCCCCCCCCCCCCCCCCGCCACCCCCCCCCCCCCCCCCCCCCCCCACCCCCCCTTTACCACCCCGGGCATTCTTTTTCTTGTAATGCGCATGCTCATCTATCTTTGTGTGACGCTATGCGGATTTTTAAGAACGAAATTTGTTCTGTTCTTTTATATGAAGATACTTTATATGGTTTCTTAATGGGTGGGTGTTATATCCGAGCCGTAGATATAACACTACCATAAAACTGCTCGATCCCGGAGCTGCTGAACCCTAAACCCTAAACCTTGAACCCTAAAACCCTAAATCCTCAACCCCTTTTGCAAGTCTAGGGTTCCATTGCGCTTGCGAGCTTGGTAGGGTGTGAGGGAGTCAACGGATGTCCGGCATGAAGCCCTCGGATGAGCCATAAGCCTCAACCCTACTTGAAGGTTCACTGCTACTGCTTCTTGTTCAGGGATTAGGGTTTAGGGTTTAGTATTTAGGGTTTAGGGTTAGGGTTTACGGTTCTTGTATCCCCCACTAGAACTGTACCGAGCGGCGAGCCGGCTTAGGGTTTAGTATGCTGTCTCTCGTCCGTCCCCGGAGAGGTCCTCTGTGTGAACTTCGCGGTGCCGCGCGGACAAGAGGCCGCAAAAGAATGCTGAAGGGGCGAACTGTCGCAGCAGGCGAGAAGCCCGCTTTCTGCGGCGGGGACCCTAAACCCTAAACCCTAGACCCTAGACCCCAGACCCTCGACCCTACTAACCCCCTGAAGAAAGGGCTGAGTCAAAATGCAGCCAGTTGGCCGACTTGCCATGACGTGCTGGAAACACTTCTAAGCCCCCTAAGTCGTCTAATTAGGTTGCCCCCGGGGTTTAGGGTTTAGGGTTTCGGGTATAGGTAGACTTCTACTTGTGGTTATAGGTACCTATGAACCTCCAAGTGTGTAGGGTTGTGGGTAGTTATGAGTCGGACAGAAAGTAAGCTGTACTAACTATGATATCTGAGATAGTTCTGTTCACTATCAAGTAGACCCTATAAACCCTAAAACTTAAACCCTAAAGATGTATACATCTTATAAACCTTGAAGCCAAAACTTGAAACCCTTCACCCTAGCCTCAGTTCGGCGTATCGGGCTGGGAGATGCACAAAGGGTTCAAAGCGCGGGGCCCAAAAAACACCCAAACCCTAAGCCAGTAAAACAGCCCGAAAACCCTGAAAGCCCTCCAAAACCATCAACCCCGAAACCCCTGAAGGCTTACACCCTGACCCTAAACCCTAAACCCTAAACCCTAAACCCTGAACCCTGAGACCAAAATCCGAAACCCTAAGCCCTACAGCCCCTGCCCTGCCTGGGCAGTCCGTGTGGTCGGAACCCTGCTTTGCCGTCAGGGTCCTACTCGCCCACCAAAGCAAAGCAGGCTTAGAGTCCAAGGTTGGAGCCTTAAAAAGGTTTAGGGTCTAGGGTTTAGGGTTTAGGGTTTAGGGTTTAGGGTTTAGGGTTTAGGGTTTAGGGTTTAGGGTTTAGGGTTTAAGGAGCCTTAACAAGTACCTGATAGAGCTTGACAGGACTTAAGAATAGTTTCAGAGAGGGCTAATCGAGGTATTGTGGCAATCTAGAATGCTCCAAAGAGGACGGGGAATGGTGTGGCGCCTGACTGGTTGCTTGCGACTGACGGACAAGGGACTTCTGTACACGACCCAAACGAGCAGAGAACAACTTACGGTGTCTTCTGAGGAAGCAGACCGATGGTGACCCCCTGAGGATACATGTGTACCACAGCCGCCGATACCCTAAACTCAAACCCTGAACTCTAAACCCTAAGCCCTAAACCCTAAACCCGCAACCATGCAGGACGACTGCAAAGCCCCCCTAAACGCCTAAACCCTAAACCCCTAAACCCTAAACCCTAAACCGCTCCAGGTCGTTGAGGCAACTTGCCCCTTGAGAAACTGCCCAGGCGGGGTCCTGTCGATATCGAACATGCACAAGCAGCTGGCTTCCTGCTTCACCTGTGGGTTTAGGTTTTAGGGTTTAGGGCTTAGGGTTTAGGGTGTGGGCTGTGGCAGGCTTAGGGTTGGGGATTCAGGATTTTGCCACCCCAAATGCTGCTTTACGACCTTTGCGTAAGCCCTGGGTGTCAAACTTCCTTCACTCGACCCATGATAGGAGGTGTTGCAGTTCTGTGTGTGGGGGGCGGGGGGGGGGGGGGGGGGGGGGGGGGGGGGGGGGGGGGGGGGGGGGGGGGGGGGGGGGGGGGGGGGGGGGGGGGTGGGAGCGGTGTTAAGGGTGCTACCTGGAGGTTCATGGTACTTACTAACCAATTATCACTGTACTTAACACCCTCTTATAAGCCCCTTAAGTGCAAAAAACATGGCTCTAAGTACAGCTACAAGTACAGCTACAATTGGTCAAGACGTCAACAAGTACCAAACCCTAAACCCTAAACCCTAAACCCTAAACCCTAAACCCATCCAAGTGGAGGTTGCGCTGATCTCTTTTTGGCGCCTATGATTCGCCTATGATGTGATGGTCGGCAAGTGGGAGCTTAAGGTTGAAGGACCCTAAACCCGAAACCCTAAACCCTAAACCCTAAACCCCAAACCCTAAACCCTAAACCCTAAACCCTAAACCCCAGAAGGCTGCTGACCATTCTCAGGCTTCTATGGACGCAGGGAAGCTGGAACGAAGCGCTTATAAAGGGAAAGGCAGGGTATTCTTGCGGGAGCCCTCCCAAAATCCCTAAACCCTAAACCCTGAAACCCTAAACCCTTAAACCCTTAAACCCTTAAACCCTTAAACCCTAAACCCTAAACCCTAAACCCTAAACGGGCCATTGTGCCTCAAGAAGCTTTGGGACCCCCAGGGCCGACTCTACAGGAAGGACTTGGAGGCCTCCCCAAAACCTGCAGGTGAGACCTCAACACCTGCTTGGCCCTAAACCCTAAACCCTAAACCCTAAACCCTAAACCCTAAACCCT